GTGCCATATCTACCTCTTATTTTTATATAGTAGCATTGAGTGCATAAAACTATTATAAAACAAACCTCTTGACTTATTGACTTTGTCGAGCGTCGGTCGAAGGAAAAAAAATGGTTAATTTAAGTATCCAAAACATGCCTTTTCAAAAATCCTTCGGATTATAATCCTTAAATACATAATGATCATCCTGTTGCATAGGCATAGGGTTGCCAACCATACGTGATAATAACGTATCCTACTTTACTTATGACAAATATTCTTTTGTCAATTTTCAAACAAATGTATCCTTAAATACTCTATTTACTTATAATGAAAAACTGCCAGTGTACTAGAAGCAAACGAGAATAGTCTTCGTGAGATAAAAAAAAATTAAAAAAGAATATTTTCCCTTCTTGAAAAATGTGATACGCTATTTTTCTCAAAAACAATTGGTAACCCTAGGTCGACACAACTGCCTGCCTGACGTCAAACCTCCTTGTTTCCACAAACGCCCAAATCCGGAACAGTTTCCGTGAGTCACACATATACTTGTCCAGTGTGGAAATCTAAACCAGGACCCCTGACGACGGATCCAACTTTAGATAGCAATTTTGCCACCGAGTTATCATCTTATCCAAAAGGTATATTTTAATAAATAAAAATGAATGTTGGTAAGCGCATAACTCAAGAATTGCTGGACCAATTCGGCTTTTTTTTCTACGTTCCTTAAGGTCCACGGAAGGTTTTAATACTATAAAAATAAAGAACGAAATTTGTCCGTGCAGCTAGTCTATGAAAAAGACAACAGATTATTAACATTAACTAAAAGTTGTCTATTTTCTTTAGTCAAATAAATAAATTAATATTCCTTTTTCTATTTTGTCGACGGGTATGTATATCATGATCAAAAATGTTCAGAAACAATCTCAGATTTCCGTTAAACATTTCCATCTTACTATAACACTTCTTTCCAAATAAATAAAATTATTCTTCTGTCTTGACTGGTTGACTACAAAGTCGTAAATCATTTCGAAATACACTTATTTTTGGACTCGTTTAAAACTCTAATTAGTTAATAAAAATTTTATTCGCATCCTCCATTTTCCCAATTCTTTTATACGTTCGACATTTATGAGCTTTATTTTTTATAGTCATTTTATTTACGTTACTTTATTTAATGTAGTTAACTATATTTCATTTAATTCTTTCGTCTGGTAAATATGAGCATAAATTATTGAATAAAACAAAAACCCGTCTGCAGTAAAAATACTTATATATAATTTACTTTATACGAACACCACTTTGAAATAATAGCAACTATTACATTTTTTCACTCTTTCATCTGTGCACACATATTTTTCTTTTACAATGATTATTCGAAGTAAATATCATAGAAGGCAGACGTTCGTTTACTTTAATGAAGTATTACAGTCCGTAAGCAACGTTATTGCCAAAACACTAACAAAACTAGAACTTTTTGACACAACGAAAAAAGGCGGGAACTGAAAAGTTATCGACGCGAGCGCGGCCGAAAGAGTTTTTTTTATTTAGCTAGATTTTACTGAGGGACTGTTTAATTTTTTTGTAGCCCGCGTTTTATTTAATCGACATTTCTTGTTGTATGTTACATAGAAGAGCCGTGGTAATATGGAATACACAATTTCTTGCATGCACTTCGAAAGTGGCAGTTTTTAAAAGCTTCGAGTTCTTTCTCATTGCTAGAATTTGTAGCATTTTTCATACTTCATCTCCTATTCATTAAACTTTGATTTGAAAAAGTGCAAACACCTGATTTTGAGTTAGATAGTTGAGATTAACGTTGCATTATTATTGTACTATGGGTACTAGATAACTGATAAACATACTTAAACATACTTTTCTTTTGGAAACAAATACATATTATACATGTATAAACACCCAGACACTGGAAAAACAATATGTTCATCACACAAGATTTTTCCAATAGTGAGGACCCACACCCTCTGGCGTGGGTCCGGTCAATGTTTGACCCTGACCATCCTCTATCCTCCAGGGCGCGGCGACAATTACTTAGCATTAACACACACATTGTCATGCTCTACTTATTTTATATTAATAAATAAATGAAATTATAAATATTATATTATAATAACGTTCTCTAGTCTCATTCTAAGCAACGCTTATACTTTGGGCACTAAATGATAGACACTGTTACTGAACTTACGTTCCTTATTTTTATAATACATATTATAGATATACATACAAAAGTTGGGATACATAGGCAACACGTCCAGAGGGATATCGACTTTTAAATTTCATTACACTACAGTCGGTTCGAAAAGTACCTAAAACCGGCACAATTAATTAATATTGCATTGCATTGTCCCCAGACGCCCAATTGGGATGTCTATCCATCTGTCAATAAAATTTAACTATTATCGATACCATAATGGAGGAGTGTCACTCTTAACGTCGATGCGCTGGACCGTTCGTTAATACTTGATTCCTTCAATCGTTTGATCAACCAATATAGTGTCTGTAAATGCTTTACGGATTTTATTGCGTTTCATTTTATTTCGAGACGTTTTCAATTACATTATTAATGTACACTGTAATCTGAATAACAGTATAAACATATTTCATGCATAAAACATATGATATCACATATTCACATATATACGATGGATAAATTTGGGGGCATAATCATTAAATTTGTAGGAATATTAAAACGCTAGTTTTATAAGGATTCGGATTTTATTAAGGCTCAATGTTTGACCCTAACCGTCTACCATCCTGCAGCGATAACGATTACTTGCCATAAAATAGATTACACACATTTTGTACTGTTTTTCTACTCTTATGTTAATAAAAAAAAACGACTCGTTTGGTATATTTGGTAAAATTTCAGCAGCCCACTAGTTTTATATAGCAAACAAAAGAAAAATTTAAACGATAGAGAACTATAGAAACATATCACTTACGAATGACTCAACAAGTAGAATTCGGTAGTCACCTAGTTTTGGAGAAAAAACATAATTAAATCTTGTTGTTTTCACTAAGAAAATCCACCATTTACTATTGTCAACTGTCTTGTCCACACTTAAACCATTCAATTTTTTTACACGAATTCATGATAACACAAAAAATTAAAAAGGATCCTCGGAATCAAATCGTTCACAATTTGATTCCGATTGGAATAAATTTTTATTAAAGAGTAAGACCAATACAATAATGTAGGTATATACATATTTGATTAATATAAATGAGCGGGAAATACTTTTGGGTTTAAATTTGACATACAATTAGACATCAAAAATAATGATACAGCCAATATGCTAATATTAATTTCGACACTCGATTATAAATTAAAATCCCTTAACGTCACCATGGTGAAATATAAACTGATAGAAATTGAATTTGACTTTACTTAACTCAAGCTGATAGGTTTTATCCGTGATTTTTATGTAAATTTAGTAACGTTCAAAATGAGTCACAGATCCGACACAGAGCACCCCGACTCCATGTGGTCTTTTGGACCCTACCCCTTGAGTGAACATAAAAAGACTTCGCCAGAACACCCGCTATGTCGCCCCTGAGTGTCGCTTCATCCACTCGGCCTTCGCTTCGCTTAAATATGAAATAAACGTATTTGCACACAAAACGATTTAATATTCAATATCAAAGTTTCTAGCGTGTACAGTATACGTTTCTTCAACAAAATCCAAGAAAAAGTTCAAAATGTATCAATAGCTAAATTAAAAAATATATATAAAAAACGTTTGTGTGTTATTATAATATTGATGATTTAAATAATCATGAATAAATGATAACATACTCAGGTAATGAATTGATCGCTCCAGGCTCTTTCAATCGGAATTTTATATTGTATTTATAATATATTCATATCACAACGTGTATGTCAAAAAATAAAAAAATAGCCCGCTGAGTTTATTTCGCCGGTTCTTCTCAGGTACGTTCCTTTCAGGCTTTTCTTTTATGAACCTGAGCTGAGGTAGTAGGTATTTTTACTATCAAAAGTGAGTGTAATATTATTATTAGCAAAAATTAACAACTTTCTTTAAATAAATAACTTTAACGAAAAAAACTAGAACGAATACACATTTATTGATTTCTGTACATAACACTATGCCACTATATATCGCTTCAGTATGACAATTCCGGTTTCCGATGCCGCAGAGTGACTGATATGAGTGATACAACGTGAAGTTCGAACTAATGGCGCTGCTAACTTCACTCTTGATCATCTCTGGTGTTGCCTTATAATATCTATATTGAATAAAGGTATTTGGATTTGTATGTGTATATTGTATTTATCTGCCCGCTGGAAACTTCGATAGCTCAAACAGAGCGGTGAACTGTAATAGAGGCTGAATGGACAGCTGTATCATGGGTCCAAATTAAACTGAAAGAATTTTTTTAGATTCCACTCTACTTTGTTGTTCTTATCATCATCATTGGCCGGAATACGTTAATTGTTGAATCCTTTACGATGTCGTCGGTTCATCAAATCCTAGGAAGGACCAACCGCTTATCGCGTTATAAGTTAGCAACTTAAAATTAACATTAGCTATGCTGATACCGGGATTGAAACTCTGTATTTTTTTTTGGACACATTTTTACACAACATTCTCTAGTCCCAAACTAAGCAAAGCTTGTACTATGGGTACTATAAAACTGATAAACATACTTTTCTTTTGTGAATATATACATATTATACATATATTAACACCCAGACACTAGAAAAATATTATGTTCATCACACAATATTTATCCAGTAGTGGGGATCGAACCCACACCCTCTGACGCAGGAGGCAAGTACACTACCCACAACGCCATTCGGGTCGTCGTTTCTGCATTGAAAGGCTTGAAATATATTTACAATTTTTTTCAGATACGATTACATCGTGATCAAATGTAAAGCTGTTATCACCACACAACCCAGTCGTACCAGCCATGTGGAAGGGGGCGGATACGTATCGAAATTAAGATCAACGGCAATTCGCTGTATTTCGTTAGTGAACATGAATCTGTTTGTTTGTGCCCTTTTGCTTTTCCTCTTACATACGAGTGATTCCGAGGACTGCGTTATAGACAACCGTTCACGCAAAACAGCGTGGGAGCAGCAGCTGCGGAAGGACCTCATCCTCTGCAGCGACCGGTACGAACCACCCGACATAAACAACACCGAAGTATTTCTCAAATTGATGCTGAAATCGTTCTACTTCGACAGCAAAGAGGAAATCCTCTCCATAAACACTTGGCTCCCAATTTTCTGGAGGGACCCGAGGCTCGCTTGGAAGCCAGAAGAGTACGACGGCATCACAGAGGTCCTTTTACCTAGCATGCTCATTTGGACCCCCAAGCTGAAACTCTTCAACGCCGTCGGGACAGCGAGCTTCGACGAAATCGATTTCTACGTGAACCATTGCCGCATCCACAACGATGGTAGTGTCGCGTGCATACCTCGGATTCTACACCAGTCCGTTTGCAGCACGAAGCTCAAGGACTGGCCTTATGATACCCAAAACTGCACATTCAAGTTTGGAACTCGTTCCAAGAGGGAACGCGTCACATTCACCTTGAATTCGTCCCGACCAGCCGACGATGCAGTAGTGCTAGCTGCCGAGTACGGCCCCGGCTGGAATATAATTGATCAGACCAGTGGCGAAGATCCAAACGCGACGGTTCAGTTCTACTTCACATTCGTGTTAAAGCGCCATGGTGTAGGGCTGGCTGCGGTCGTGGTTGCGCCCCCGCTAGTCCTGTCAGCCCTGATTCTCACGTCCATGCTGATGAATGTCGACGACGGGATCCGTTTGGCTCTACTCTGTTTCAGTCTGCTTAGCCAGCTCTTCTTCCTGCAAGAAATCAGCAGTGACATACCAAAGAACGGTGCCGACACGCCTACAGTCCTGTTCTATCTGCGCTCTACAATAATTTTGACTCTAATGGCAATTGGAATAACGTTCATTTTGCGCCACCTTAAAAGAAAAAGCAGCCCACCACCTATAATTATAATGGTGTCGACCGAGAAAATCTACAATTCGCACGGAAAATGTTTGATTTGGCCCCGGTGGGAGGCGAATGCGGTCGGTTTTGAAAACAATGAACTCACAATGAAATATGTATCGGTTTGGTCTGACTTTGCCAGCGTTGTCAACTTTGTTTCAATGATAACGGTTGCAATTGTTTTTGTTATAAATTTTTTCGCTTACCTACCACAATCGCAAAAATAAATAACACTGCAGTTAATTAGTGTACGAATAATACATCCAAATAAAAGTTCCATTACGTCCTTTATTACTTATCAAATAACTGGTTACAATGCAGACACCTTTCAATAAAGTGTGTCCCACTAAGCTGTCCATTCGTGCAACGGCGAAGACTATTGCGTGGCCATACGATTAATTTTCTCTTCATTGGTCATTTATACTTTATGTTATCATGAAAGCACAACTACATTCAAGCTATTCAATTTTGTAAATATGTTTGATCATACGTCCCGACATAGGAATAATAAATTCTATAAAAGTTTCGCATAAATATATTCTTATCGCAAAGTGATAACAACAATTAACTTACTCTGTCTCGCTTTCCCGTTGAAATCTTCGCGAAATTATTTCGCACTTGGCAGTCATTAATTGTAACGAGCTTTAAAACACTCTCGTTATCACTGGCGAAGGAAAATTATGCTCTCGTAAAGAGTCAGTTAAATAAAGTACCGGCATATTTTTCACTCTCGAAATGAAATAGGATCTTGGGATTTTCAAAGCTCCGTTTTCTTGCTGTAGTTGAGAATTTTTTAGGGTTCTCTGTCTGTTTGTCTGTCCGTCTGTCACCAGGCTGTATCTCATGCACCGTGATTGTTAGACAGTTGAAATTTTCACTAATAATGTATTTCTGTTGCCGCTGTAACAACAAATACTAAAAAACACAATAATAAAATATTTAAGTGGGCTTCGATACAAAAGACGTGATTGTTTTTATAAATAAACTAGCTGCTGCCCGCGACTACGTCTGCGTAGAGGGGTGAAAATTTAGGGTTGTATGTATTTTTGTATGCTGTATCATAAAAAAATTGAAACAAAAAGTTTTATATAAAAAAATAAAAAAAAAATTTAGGGATGGACTACCCCCTTAACATTTACGGGGACGAAAAATAGATAGTAGCCGATACTCAGATCTACTGAATACGCATATAAAATTTGGTAATAATCGGTCGAGCCGTTTCGGAGGAGTTCAAGTTCGAACCCCGTGACACGAGAATTTTATATATAAGATGGTACGGAACACTGCGTGCGCCAGTCCAACTCGCACTTGGCCAGTTTTTTATTTCCATGGTTGTTGGTGCAATCATTACTCCACACTGTATAGCTCTTCAAAAATACAACATTGTTAATACGAGTAGCTTTACCTATAGGTCCTTTATAGTTATTTAAGACTATATTTACGTAATGTTTATGTAAATAAAGCCTTAATTTGCTTTTTCGGTAATTTTGCAGTCCCTTGCAGAATCGTGTTACGTAGTAATGAAACATAAATAAATTTGAGCATTGCGCCTGAATTGGGTAATGTTTTGCATAGTAACGCTGTATACTTAAAAACACAGTGTAACTAAATTTAGACTTTTAAACACATATTTATTTTTGAGTTTAATGTAGCTGTACGAATAAATAGCTAAATAATGAAGCCATAACTGCTCGCTGTTACTGGAACGTCTTTAGGGAGACGCAAACATTTTTAAACGACAAAAATGTAAAATTTAAGTTAACAATAACACTATGTATAAAGTAAATTACGGACAAAAAGACCTTAACTTGTAAATTGTATCTTAAAATAAAGCATAAAATATACATGGTAGGTGACGATTAACTAACAATAACACTTTTAGGTGAAGTTTTAGCGATTTTGAGCGCTCAGATTTAGCGGAGAAAATAGGCAATATCATTAGACGAATGCGACTAAGTCTCGTCTAAGCGCTTTTGTTTTATGAATTTTCATTTTCATGTTCTTGTATTCTCGGCTGGGTACTTCCTTTCCTTTGGCATGAGAATAGTTTTGGCATCCACCATTAACCTCAACGCATCTATTATACCTCCTAATGGCACTAATTTCAAAGCAACCATTGACCTAGCTTCGTAAATTGTTTTTTTTTTTATGTGAGATAGTGGCAAACGAGCCATTCACTTGCTCTGAAATGCGACTGAAGACAGAATGCTTCCATAGCTAGTACGCAACTTATTGCGTCCTTACATTGCGTCCTGCGCTTTACAAAATAATTTATCATTACAGATCGTGTTTACTTTAAGATTTTTAAGGCATAAAATCTGTAAAAGTATTTTATTCGACATTGTGTCGTAATCGTAAATACAAAAAAGATATCAGAGAACACATTAACAACGTGATTCCGCTTCTTTCGCGGAAAATAATACTCCGTTTGCAGTATACGTAGAACGACGATAGGAGGCGGTAAGGTCGCCTTAAACGAGTCATTCGTTTGAGGCGAAGCTATCCGCGGTCCAAGGCTATGGGATGAGCGACTTGTGTCATCGCACGTTTGAGTAACGATGCACAGAAGGCAATTCTCAGTGATCGGAGGCAAATTTTGAACAAATGGCAAAAATACGAGCATGCACTGAGGGCAATGTATTTCCAGCAATATATCATGATGTAATCCGCCGAAGATACTGGGACATAGATTATTCCAAGTATTCGCCACACAATTTTTCTATCAGTGATTGGAGCATGCGGCAGATATGACCAGCATAAATAAATTTAATCAGCAAGATAAATTTAATATCCCCTTTTTGCGCCAAATCTGCTACAGAATGGACGGATTTGCGAAGGATTGGTCTGGTATAGCCCACGACAGGGAGGAGTGGAAGAAATGGAAGGAGGCCTTTACCCAATAGTGGGGCACTAGTGGCTGATTACGATTACGATTGGAGGCAAATAGTGAGCAAAGGCAAAAATATGAGCAAACCTTGAGTACAGTACAGTAGTAAAGTTACAGCTTGTACATACTGCAGGACAAAGGCCTCCTCTGTACAAAGGGTATCAGACCACAGTCCACCACGCAGCCCCACTGCGTATAGGCGGATTTCTCATATCTTAGAAATATTTTTTTTTATTATTCCGAAAATATGGAGGTTACCTCACGATGTTTTCCTTCACCGCTCGTATAATAAGTACTGCAAAATAAAAAGTACCCGCTACACCCTGTCACTTGCACCATCATTGTAAAACTTGGTTCCAGTGGAAACAAATCGCTTCGCCCGTACAAACTAGTTGACAAATATCCCAATGGCTGCTATTAGTGCAGTCATTACGTTGCTGCTTTTGACTTTCGTAAGATATGCGGAATGTAAACTTCTCTATTTTTTAAGGGTTCCGTACCCAAAGGGTAAAACGGGACCCTGTTAATAAGACTCCGCTGTCTGTCTGCCTGCCACGAGGCAGTTCCCATGAAACTTCGGCGTCGGGGTCGTGGGCCCGATTTCCACACGGGACAACTATTTGTGTGACCCACAAATATTTGTTTCCGCATCTGGGTGTTTGTCCACGTGAAATTTATGTATGTAAAAACGTCCTTGCAACACAGGACGTTTTTACATACATAAGAAAATGCATTTTTAAAGAAAAGAAATAAAAAATAAAAAAAAGACCACGGAACTTTCCGTAATTTTCAAATTTTGCATACTTCTTGCGCGCGAGAAAACGGTTTAAAAGTTTTTAATGGAGGGGCCACAATAATTTTTTTAATTCGCAACTTTAATTGTTCTTTTTAATTAAAAAAAATTAAAAACAACTATTGTTAATTAATAAAAAAAAATTAATGACTTTTCCGAACTTAATTCATAGTCTTTAATTTTAATACGCTCTGTTTAAGGATAAATACGAGGAGTTTTTTGGAAACTCCCTGCATTAGTTACTTTCTTTCTGTTGTCAATTTACTATTACTATTACTTATATTATAACTTACACATAACATAAACATCTGCGATTGTCCTTTACTTTTCCTCATTATTGTTACAATAGTCAGATTTATATTACAATTAAATGTGATGGTAAACCTAACAGCATATGCGACAGCCGTGGTAGGATCCTAATATTTAAATGGTTCTTATTGCCCCAGCCGAGACATACCAGACCTATGAAGGGCTTATTACCTAGACATTTTCTATACGTTAAATTTAAATACCCTTCATTAATAAATTTATTTCATTTTTCTAAATATCACACAGCTATCATAGGACAGTTCTGATATATAGATAGGATATGGTTAATCAGTTATTTGTTTTTTTAACGTCTCAAATACGACAAAGTTTGTTCCGAATATTTTGTGTATTTTATTCGGCAGATAGCTGCGAATTATTAAGTGTGCTCGAACAAGCTGCGAAATTCACTCCAAAACAGTTATGGAATATTATCAGGTGTTGGTTACTTTTAGTTATCTTTTATTACAGCACTGCGAAGCGCTTCTTAGGTATAAAACTACAGGACAAAAGCCTAAGGATAAGCGACATTCAAGAACAGCGTTAAAACTTAAATTGACTTTGCGGAACAAAAGCCTCTTGGGGCACCGTTCTCGAAGAAACCAGATCTTGAGAGGGTACAATATATCATAGATTTATCGCTCTTATTTTAAACTCTTATAACAAGAAGGTGCTACCTTAGTCCAGGTCTTTGCATCAGTATGTTCAACACGAGTTGAAATATCGGCGGCGACAATATCGGTACAAATTAAATCATTAATTGCTATTTTAAGTACTGACTTCGCTCCTTCTCATTTGTGAGGAAATACATCTTGAGGGTTACGACTACGCCACGGAATCCGCAAATCTTGACCACGATTTTTTAAGAAATTGCCAAATAACCGGACAATGAACAGCCGTGCAATCAAGCAAAGACAAAGAGGACATTGTGGAGCCTAAAATTTTATTGATATAAGGCACCATAAGAAATCTTCTTTATATAAAACTAGCTGACTCGGCAAACGTTGTTTTGCCATATAAATTATTTCTAGAGGAATCGGAACGCACGCATAAAGTGTTTGACAGGTTACACAGACATAGTTGACAGGTACAGTTTGTATGGGAAAATAAATTTGTTGCAATTTTTCCATAATTTCTCAGCAATCCATTTTTATATATAAGATGAATTGCCGTTCGTTAGTCTCGCTATTCGATATCTCGATATTTTAGTTTTGAAATATTTGTGGCAGTCAAGGGGAGGTTTAAACGATGAGAAATTATGGAAAGATTGCGTGGAAAGTCGAAATAGCAACAATTTTATTTTACCATACAAACTGTACCTGTCAACCTGTCAACTATGTCTGTGTAACCTGTCAAACACTTTATGCGTGCGTTCCGATTCCTCTAGAAATAATTTATATGGCAAAACAACGTTTTCCGAGTCAGCTAGTATGTTATAAATCTTTATGCGCATAATACAATTGTAGAAAATAAGCTAATCCACTGCACCATTTTTGACCTTTTTATAAGCGAAGGGTATGACAAACTGACACGAGAAATCTATTAAGAAACGCTATGGAGTAAATAATCTCACGCTATGTTAGGGGCAGTAACCATTAACATAGAACTATAAACGGACGAAGATACAGATTCAAATTAACATCACGAAGGAGAAAAAGTGAATAATGAATAACGAATAAATTGGACGCTTATTTTGCATTAATTTTATTTACAGCTCAGCATAAGTCGCCATATTCGCAACACCGCACGTGTTGAAGCCACGACGAATTCTGTAAAAGACAGTATTCTATTATTATTCATTTAAAAGCTTAAATTTCAATAATTTGGAGACGATGAGGTAAGAAGTTCATTGTCATGTTCATACTGATGTTGAGGACGATTTAAATATTTTAAGTAAATAATACTTAAAAACATTGCCAATCTTCGCTGTAAGGATGTTTAACATACACAAATCAATGAGAAAACATTTAAAATCATAATTATGAGCTTATCCTTGATTGGATACCCGCAAATCAAACAGAAAATTGAACGTAGGAGTTCTCTCCCATCTCCGATCCGTGCCGTTGAACACTTATCTGCTTCGCTTACAAAACAATCAGATTCTATTAAATAATACTTTTATTATTGAAATAGAGTCATATTAGGCCTGTGATGTTTTATGAATAGATGGCTAGACCCGGCACAGCCTCAATGACGTTTGAGATGGAGTAAAACTGTAAAGGTATTTATTGAACGCTTATGCATCCGCATCTTCAAAATGCAACGAACGAATTGCAAACTGGGATCACAAATGTAGGAACTTCCACCGGCTTCCACGAATTTCCACGAGCTGTTGGCGCTGATTCGCTAGCATCAGGTCAATGTCATGGCCGTTTACTGACATCTCAAAGAATGAAGATAATACGCCGTCAACTCACCTTATGTACCCATCTTCTCCCCAATGCCGGCCCCACCAGTTCAGCAGAATCCAGTAGGACGGCGTGTAACCAACTAGCAACATCGCGTGGTTCATCTTCCACGGTATGCAGAACGGATCGTCGTAAATACCGCTTCTTGAAACGAATAGAACTTTAATCGTCATAAGTTTTCCAAGGTGAGAGCCACCTACTTCTGTCTAGTTAACGTGATAAATTAAGCCATTAAACTTATTCAAGATGTCTTTGAATGTTTTTTTACCTTCAGTTAGCTAAAGTGCTATCCATGATGTTGATTTGAATTTTTTTTTATGCGAAAAGTTGTCAAACGAGCGGACGGTCCACCTAATGTTAAGTGAATACCGCCGCCCGTGGACATCTGCCACACTCGAGGGTTACAGATGCGTTGACAACCTTTTGAAAATTGGGCTCCGGCTACCTCACTCACCAGACGAAACGCGAAAGTATTTGTCATACTTCCACTTTACGCTGGTCTTCTGTGAGGTCGTGGTACTTACCCGGACGGGCCTGCCCATTTGTGCAACAGCCGAGGCTGCTGCGTGGCCCTACCACCGACAAAGTTTGAAATTTGAAAATTGAACAAATTAATTTTAATACAATTTTAAACACATAACTACTACCAGGGGAAAATTGATGTCAATGGGTGCCAATGGCAATTTAATTGGCAATTGTCTAATACGGATGTCAGACAAGTATCTTGCACTTTTCTTTTTCGATATACAAAAGCAGCCACCTTCTTTACGTTGCTTCATGGCTAAGCAACTACTAAGCAGAACACAATAATCTTCGACATGACTAAATGGAGTACGACGCTGATCAATAAAGCAGAACAAATGAGGAGAAAGGAGACAGAACAAAAGAGAGAAGAAGAACAGGAACTGATAGTCACCTATACAGCTGGAAGGTTATGGGGGCGGCGTTGACTGCGACGGCAAGGGGCCCGATAGTAGCAAGGGCCCTTTCCAATGCCAATTCGTTTCCTGCGGGTAGAGTAGCCCATCTCCGAGGCCTGACCCTTACCAGACCGCTGTAATGGCATCTACCTTCCTGAATGAGTCAAAATTATGATAACGAATGATTAAGAAACTCGAGATCTATTAGACACGCTTTTATTGACTACGCTAATAAGGAACTTTGTATGTATCTGTGAATGTTATGGAATATCTTCATTTAATTTTTATCCACTAACGAAAATTCCAAGTTATCTTAGTTGCATATCAATATCAAAAATGGATATAACAATAATCAATTAAAAATATATACAGAATCGTACGAGGTTGTGTAAATGGTTGATCTGCTTCTGAGTGACTTAGGTGGTTGAGGCCATAACTTATGTTTGATATGTAACTTATGTTAAATTTATACTTATGTTTTCAAAACTAAACTTCACGTCTATCGCAGCATAGTATACTAGGCCAATGGGAATAATATAATAATACATAGACAAAACAAAAAATATTTTGTATAGACTTCAATTTTCAAATCAGGTGGATTATGGCCGTGATATCTAAAATGAGGAAGAAATAAAAAGGCAAAAAAAAAAAAAACATTGTTTTTGCTCAGGGTAACAATTACATTCGGACAAATCGATGCTGCGAACCATTGCATGGAAGGTCGGTAAAAACGGTTACATTTGAAAATGTTTAGTATTTGCGGTAAATATAAGAGACAATAACCGTTCCGAGATATGGATACTGCGTTTCCGCAGCGAGGCCCACCCTCGCCGCGTACCTGAACGCTCCCTGCAGGGATCCCCCAGAGCATCCGCCGTTCCCGTCCGCACTGCTGCAGTCGACGATTTGCTGCGGACTGCGGACGTCGAGTTTTGTTGCAGTTTCATCCGGTCCCCAATTACTATCTGACCATTGTATACGAATAATTATGCCATTTCGTATCTCGGTTTCCTCGATACAGGCTTGCCTAGTGAGGAAACTAATGGAAATCATATTTATACTGAGTGGTTCAATCCGTCCTCAGCAAAATACTTTGATTTGTTTTATTTTTATTTGTCATAACAACCGTGTTTTATATTTTGCCGTATTAAAAATATTTTTCATTTTTTCATCTTGGCTCGCTTGAGAGTGGCAAGTGAGCTACGTTAGACGTGCCACGCTCGTTAAGTTTGCACGCTATCTTGCTATGTGGGAAGGTGGCAAACGAGCTGGTGGTTCACATGACGTCAAGTGATAGCCACCGCACATGGACATTTACAACAACCGTAGGGTTGCAGATGTGTTGAGTTTCTTTCGCCGGTTCTTCTCAGGTCAGTGGCTTTCTTTCTGAACCGGTAGTAGATTTTTTTGACAATCAATAAGTAAGTTTGATGCTTCTATATCGAATAAAGATATTTGACTTTAACTTTGCCACCTATAAAGTGGGCCCCGGCTCCTCACCAGACGAAACTCAATATGATATAATATGCAAACTCTAGATGGAGCGAATGTTTTTTGCCGGACATGCAGGCGCAGGGAAATATAGGTCGCATGAAATGTTTTCAGAGAGCATGAAAGATTTTGTCAGAGCCAATAAATGGGGTAGGGCCAAGCAACTACGTCGGCCGTTCCACGAATGGGTAGGTCCGCTACCACAATCTCGCAGAAGACCGTCGTGAAGCTGAAGTACCATACTTCTGCGATTCGTCTGGTGAGTGAGGTAACAGTGCCCAATTTATTATAAGGTGGCAATCTTGCACTTAACATCAGGTGGCTAACATCGCTTGCCACCTTCTCACAAATAAGAGAAATAAACGGTGGCGTCTTCAAGGCAAGAGTGAATAGGTTTCTACTGAGCTAGCGCGCTTACCACGGCTGAATCGCCTCTTACCATCAGGTGGGATGGCAGTCAAGTCCTAGCCAGTTTTTGAATTAAAAAAAAATAATGAAGTAGGTTTGATAATAATACCCCAGCTTACCTCAGTTCCACCCACCGCCGGTGCGTCTTGAACAGCTGACCTTGGAGGGTGTGCGTCACGGCGAAAGCATAACACGCCCCGCAGTGCCATTGCTCCTCACGCCGTGGCTTAAAGCCTCGACTCCGCCAGTCGACCTGGAAACCATTTATTAATACTTATTCCACTATTGTTTACTACAAAACATTATGACTGCTTTAAACCAGAGCAAAAACCACATAATTCAAAAACTGTAATTGGTTATAAAAAAGGCGATAAAATGTATGATGATATTGCATAATACATCCGCAATATTTAAACTTTTCGGTTGTGTTTGAGTCATTGTATATTCTTCTACTATTTTTGCTACAAAATTATATGACATCTTTAAACCAGAGCCAATACCATTTGATTTCTAAAGTTCGAATTCTTGTATAGAAAGACGGTAAAATTTGTGATATTATTATTACATAATACACCTTTACGCACCACAATTTTTTTGGGTTTATTTGAGCCATAATTTATTATTGGATTTGATTTGTTATTACCAATTTCTACTGCAGCAGCAATAGCTGCTGCTGCAAGAATGCTGCAATATGCCATTAATATCTCAAATTTCATGAATCTAAATAGCATAGTTTGACGATGACATAATTTACAACATTCCTCATCATCATTATTTCAGCCTGTTTGAGTCCACTGCTGAACATGGCCTATGTTCAGCAGTGGACTCAACACTCCCTCATAGACTGCCACGAAGTACGATCCTGACCCACAACATTGGTATGACTTGCGCTGGACGAGACGGTGTGGGTTATCTTTTGTTATACTACTGGAAAAATGTTGTGGACATATTTTTTAATACAGTTGCTCAAAAAGTGGCGTATTGCACTGACGTATAGCGTTCGGGATGTGGGCTATTACATACTCGAGCTTTTTCTTTACCTTTTATAAATCCTACGCGCATTAACAAATTGCAAGTAGTTCAAAGTAAGTTTATCCGCCGCGCAACCGGTGCGCAATGGTATCAGCGCTACGTCGATCTGCAATGCGATTGCAGACTCCCGACGATTCGCGCACATTTTAAAGATTTGACAAAACGGTTCTTCGATAGAGCCCAGCATCATCCCAACCCTCTGGTGGTAAGCGCAGCAAACTACCAACCGGACACAAACGCGAACGTAAACAAGCGTCGCCCGCGAAACGTCCTCATCGACCCGGTCGACGAAGAGGACTTAGACACGATGGACCCACCGCCGGGGGTCCCGCCGGATAACACTACACCCACAGTTAGTGTAACAACAATCACACCAGTTCGCCCTCGCCTCCGAGCACGGCGAGACCCACACAACGCGTACACAAGGTACACCCGCGTTCCGGGGCGGTTCTCACCGCTCCCAGCCACCGATTAGCTAAATGCACAGTCGACGGCCGTCGGGGTCTCGGTCCGAACCGGCGACCTCGACGGCCCTTAGATGACACACCATAGTAGTTAAACGCACGCATGAGCACATGCGCGACCCTACCCATAGCGGAGGGTCCAAACCCGTGGGTTCTGGCTAGCCCACCGGTTCTGCGTCCGATGAAGCTTTAATAGTCTCGGGACTGAAAGCAAAAACATCAGTTAATACAAGATACAAGATACACTTTACCTTTTCCGAACTCGTGCGTTCTCTATCCCAACTGTCAAAATAATGTCTATTAAAAATAAAAACCAAACACGAAGATTTTACAAAAATAAAATTCATAGAAGTTTTTATGATTCATGCAAATATTTCTAAAATGAAGCTTCTAATTTCTTTCAATATCAGATTTAATGATTTGATTCAATAGGTTAGGTTAGGTTTCATTTCATTTCATCTAATTAAATTTCATTTTCATTTCATATCAATAAAAAAAGTCTACTGAAGACTTGGCTGTATGGACATAGTTGACCCTTTGCCTACACAGAAAGGGTGAAGAAAACAAAAAAAAATCTCTGCTTGTATTCTTTTACGGTTGACGCCATTTTCCAAATTTTTCTTATTCTATTATATTATTCTCTGTTTTTATTATTCTATTAAATTGCTTCATTTTTTCGCAACTGTATTAAAAATTGTTGTTCAGTACACGTGCGAAACCGTGATTGCAACTTGTTCCGACTGTCAACCTATAGTAGTAACCTTGTAGACATTTGTCGGAACTCTTTGCAATGACAGGCTTTCCGCACTCTTAATGAACTATACTATATTGTGTGTAAGTGAATATCATAGTGTTTTTCCAGTGTCTTGATGTGTGTATATTTTTAATATGTATTTATCTCCAAAAAAAGTTTGTTCAAGTATATTCATCAGTTATCTAGCACCCATTGTACAAAGATTGATAAAAAATGTTGTGTAAAAATGTGTCCTGAAATATTTATTTCTTTATAGTATTAGTCTCTTTCAAAATGGTAGGTATTTATAGTGGTAAAGAATCCACACAAGTGGTCTATCGTCCAGTTCAAGGTCAATAATACCCACCGCTCTCGGCGTCCTCCGATGCCTGATTTTATTGTAACCGCTCCTGCTGAAGTCCCGAGCCGGATCGAACCGGGGAATTGTGGCGATGAGCCTCAAGATTTGCCCGACGTAGTCATCGACATGCTTAAACAGAAAGGTACAAGGTCGGAAATGGTACATTGTTGAGCGGAAATTGCTTGGAAGCAGATTGCTTTTGCGAACTTGAGGTTGTTTTCTTTTAAGTGAGATGGTGGAAAGCGAGCTGATGGAACAACTGATGGTAAGTGACAACCGCCGCCCATGGACATTTGCAACACTAGACGGGTTGCAGATGCGTTGCCATCTTACAATAAAGTGGATCCTAGCTACCTCACTCACCAGACCGAACGCAGAAGTACCGCACTCCTACTTCACGGTCATGGTACTTATCCGGACGGACCTTCCATTCGTGCAACAGCGAAGACTGTTGCGTGGCCCTACCACCGTACAAGTACGTCTCTTTATTCTAATAGTAGAATGATTTGATTAATTCTACTGGATAGTTATTCTGGATAAAAGCAGTATATATGATAAGGGGACATCTATTAAATATTCATTAGGGATATCTGCCAAAATCATCTTCCATGATTCTTCACTGTTGTATAGAGAATCTTGTATCTTTCTTTCTGTTGTAGCTATTTTTTTTCTTGTAGCATCATATAACTATAATGCTTTAACGGCATAATGTGATAGGCTTAATATTTAACCGAAACGGTATCATATTTATCATGTTTAACAAACGGCACAAAGTAACATTTAATAATAAGCCGTTCGCGATTTCATTTCAACGGGATTTCATATTCACTAGGCGTTTCATATTCACGAGTCGATTTTTTTTTATAAGAAAATTGTTGCGCGTATCGAAATGTGATAAACAAATACAAAATACGTGTACCTTTACTCTCGTCATCTACGTGATATACATACCCAATCACCGAAATTGTTTAGGTGCAACGAGAATGATCGCTTCCCTGACAGAAACTCCCGATTGTGCTTCGCGACCACTTTTAGGTTATCCCGCCAAACAGCCAGTGACGCCATCTCGTGGTTGCGCGAGTAATACTTCTTATCGAAGAATGACTGTTTCAATTGACAATGGCATTAAAAGCATATTTATTTTTATTTATTAATTTATTTTTTATTTAAAAATATTAAAATAATGATTTAATGTCTAATTTATATATTCTAGCGTTATTAATTCATCGTTTTAACGTTCCATAAAGGTTTTTTTACTTGAAGGAAGGAGGCAAGCCAATAATTTTATTAATTAATGGTAAATTAACTTGAAGGCAAGAGTTTTTTTCATTTGAAAAGATGGCAAGCGAACGAGATGTTTATACTGCTTTTTTATAATCACCACCACCCATGGGCTTGATAGTACAACGTCGCCAACCACTTCCATTTTTCCATAATACCAGGTATAACATTTTCAATTCCCGATGGTCTTTTGCGAGGCTGAACATTCATGCGACAGCCCAATTATGTACAACTCCTATGACAATTCAATAGCACCATAAAATTTATCCAGATAATCGAAATATGTAGACCCTTAAACGAAAGGATAAAGTAAAGGTAAAATTCTTAACAAACAGGCTACATTATGAATGGAGAGTTGTTTTCTTGACTTTGACTCTCGAACTCATATCTTCTACAATTGTGTGGAACACGCAATACGAATCACACTAATAGCTATAATTCATATATTCGAAAGACAAATGTCCATTGTAACTTTTCCAATCAATACATAGTATCTATAAAAGAAAGTCGTCCCGCGCTTCTGTATGTCCCTATGTATGCTTAGATCTTTAAAACTACGCAAAGGATCTTGATGCGGTTTTTTTACTAGATTGAGTGATTCAAGAGGAAGGTTTATATGCATAATACATTAAACCCGTGAGCCGGGGCATGTCGCTAGTATACAATAAATAATAATGAGAAATAAACAGAACTTTGTACTCCTGCCAGTGCGTGTCTGGAACATCGTCGTGTAATAATAGGCCGCTCAAATGCCTCCCCAAATACTTCGAATCGTTCTTCCCCTTGCACTCACTGATGTCATAGTTTGTTAGCAGCTCTTCGAACCTCCCGTTGTTCACTAGAAAGTTCACAGTGCTCTCAACGAAAGCGTCTATTCTGTCATCAGTCTTAGCACATCTGTTTTGTCGCGAGCTTGCGTATCGAACGAAAATCGATTTCACCTTCTCCGCGTTGTCTTTTATTCCTAAGTTATACACTAGCGTTATTTGAACGATCACATATAACAGGCGCATTGTATTTAGCTTAGAGACGACCGGCTTTCGTAACGAACTTGACTTTAGTCCGTAGACACTTACGCCCAATGAAGATATTACCGAGTTGATTCGATTTGAAATTGCTGATAGAGCACTGAGTAATTCGACTCGCTTATTCGTTGCGAAACTTGATGCTACAAAATTATGGTCGCCGATTGGCCTTTATCTTATAAATGAAATATGAAATTTTGTGTGCTCTCTCGGTATAATAGTATCGTAAATATAATCGACGGTCCCTCAGTGTGTGGCAAAACTCCAACGGAATGCCCCAGTTTTTGTGGATATATAGTGCCCTCAACAATATTGCCTGCGATTCCAAAATTAACTGAACACAACAAGATATACCTGAACTATATTTTACAAGCTTAGTACTACAAGTTTAAGTTACTGCGTCACATGTTCAAATGTATGAATAATTCTCACAATTCGTTTTGCCAATACAGTAATTGACATTTTCAAATTATTTCTAAGAAAAGTAATATATGCCTTTAATTTATAAAAAAAAAATGATTTTGTGCTTTAATGTTTTTTTCTTGTACCGCCTAAAATTGAGAGTTTACATCAGCCTTATATTATTAGTATATTCTATTTGAAGACAAATCATTTCATTCAATTATATTTTTAATAAAAATGAACAAATACTTTCGACGCTGTGGGATTCGAACCTGAGTCTACTGCTTTTGCGCCCAGAAGCTTTACCAATTAAGCTAAGCGTCCGATGACCTCACGGAGCGAAAATCTTGACGTTCACCTAAGTTCGTTCCATTGCACTTTTAGCAATTTTAATGTAGGCATACAGCGTGTCTTTACAATCGCGACAATAAATGAACACACATATAGAGGATAACTCTTTAAAATTGTATTAAACATTTACATTCTTTTAACATCAATGTTTACAGAGTTTATAAATTTTCCAAAACAATGAGTTTTAGAACATCCTTACGTTTTTTTTATTTATAAGCCTTTAATGACAACACCATAAATAATTTTTTTTGACAATATAAATGTTTTTTTTTTTTCTTTGTACAATGTAAATAATTTAACAAAGCTTTATTATATGACTTATTGGGCATCGGCGTGTCTCTGTGACACGAAGGCCTCCTCCAGCTCATTCCAATCCACTCTTGATTGCGTTGTCCTATGCCATAAGGGACCAGCAGTCTTTTTGATATCATCAGACCAGCGTTTTCTTTGTCTTCCTCTTTTTCTCTTTGTTTGGAATCTAGGGGTCCATTCGGTTATATCTTTTGTCCTCTTATTTCTATTCTTTCTCATCATGTGCCCTACCCATTTCCATTTATTGTCACGATGGTAACGACACGCTGTATAATGCTTGTCACGACTTATTTTTATTCACTGGCCAGAATTTATATACAGGGTGGCTTTTAAAGTGTATCCATTTTTTTATTAAATTCTAGACATAAATAATGTTATATAAAAAAATGATAAATATTTAAAATCACTCGTTATTAATTAATTACATTCATTTGAACTTATCTCAAAAAGTGGGCAAATCATTTATTTTACGCGCGATCATTCACAACTAACACGCACACAAGTTCGTGTCAAAAGTATACGATACATTTATCAATGACTACCGCATTGTCAACAAGTTCTGTTTTTTAGGGAATGGAATGGCAATTTTTTTGATAAAAAAAATGTTTGTTTATTTTTCAATAAACGATTATACTACAGAGTCTGAACGTCCTGTGTGAATTTGGGCACCTTTAGAAAAGCCACCCTGTACATTAAAGTGCATAATCATTTATAATCAATGATTAAAAGTAGAAATATATAAATGGGTCGATTTTATCAAATTTTTATCATTAACCTACAGCCAAAAAGTGCCACAAAGATCAAAACAGGAAATGCTTGAAAGAAATGGATTTTATGTAGGTACCATATTTTAATACAGTATCCATTCATCAAAATCCTGCCCTTATCCTAACCTAGGTAGGGTCGGCACAACGTGTGAATCATGTTGTAAGCGGTTTTAGCTATGTTTTTTTTACGACCGGCCGCTTGCCTGACGTCAACCCTCCTTGGGAAACAAACACCCAGATCCGGAACAATTATGTGCGAGTCACACAAATATTTGTCCCGTGTGTAAATCGAACCCACGACCCCCGACGCCGAAGCCAATACCTTAAGAACAGTGCCACCGAGTCATCTTAATAGAGATCCATTGCCAGATGTAAATAAAAGAATCAAGCATTTTGCCCACACAATTTATTTGACATGTATAATCTCACATTTGATGTTGTCATTCATAATTTTTGACATTTATTAAATAATAGAAAACTATTTTCTGTATTCTGAAGATACGATTTTACTTAAATACATGTTTATGACAAATTCCTCGTTTATTTTTAATGAAAATAATTGTTCAGACGTCGGTCTTCACCGCAGTCTGTTTGAAAACATTAACAAATTAAAATTTTCCAGATTTGAATAAATAGATGAGATAATATATGATGATTTATTTTCTTTTATCATTGAATACATCTTCTACATAAATAATACGACAGCACAATGTAGGTAAACACACATTTACATTTATAACGTGATCTCTTATATTTACAAACCACGACCCTAAAACATTTTTTTTGTATATTCCACTATTTATGCATATGTATATCTTCCTAACTAATGTCTGCCAATGGCAGAAGTAATAGGAGCAGGTTTCGTTACGACGCCGCTGAAATCACATTTTTTTTACAATAAATGCAAGCGAATGAATTATTTACACCACTATGTAATAAAACAGACAAAAAAAATTCTCTACTTAAGACTACGACTAAGGGCTAAAAACTAATAATACTCACATTTAATACCTACAAATAAAATTGACGTCAAAACAAAGAAAAATACCTGCTTAGCTTTGTTCAAGATTCTAGTTGAAATAACAAAACATAGATTGTACAACAATAATATCTTCTATTTCATTTTTTTTTTTCATTAAAAACAATTTTCCACATAAAATATTATAAGTTTATTTATAATCCAACTTCAAAAGTGTCTTACACTTTTTTAAAGTAGACTACAGGGACTATATATCGTATTAACACTGTTCCTAGATTAAATTGTAGGATTAGACCATTAATAAATTAAAAGGTAAAAAAACCATTGAATCCAGCCCCAATAAAGTCCCGACTGACAGACGGTTCAGGATCAGCATTCATAAAATAATATTTATTAATCACTTATAATTTGAGATTCCATATTTCAATTTATCTCTTATAAAGTCCTACACATAAAACCCCCAAGTCAGTCAGGACATTGCGCGGGAACTGATATAAACTTTTAATACAGATTAAAAAATACACCAAAGTTAATACATTTTTTAATACAGATTAAACAACTAGAACAACTTGGCTGACACCCACATGGCGAGAGAATCACTACGAGTGATCGACAATGTAAAAACTTTTCGTAAATATTTATTTTCTATTTAAAATTTCGGGACGACATCAACAAATATTTTAAACACAAAAATAAAGGCCAAATCTTTGAAAAGTTCAACAGCAACTAATTCAACGGCTACAGTTGATTATTTATTAGCCTACCAAAATTTTTCTAAAGACGTTTCCTTTTACAATTTTTTGATAATCTGTGGCACAAGTTACCGGAGGTACACAGTATATAAAAACAAACGACTTTTTACTGCCTAACTTTTAGTTTGCATTTACCTAAGTCGAGATGAATACGCAGAACTTAATTATCTGATTTCAATCCACCACGGTTATCAATAATACCAGATGAACCACATCTACCGCTAGAAAAGATCGTCCAAAAAACAAAAAATGGCAATACGTCCACATTTCGGGCAAACTGCCGCTAAGAAAAAATTCGAAACCGAAAACCGCACATGAGCTCGGAAACGCCATATAGGTTCAGATTCGATAAGTTTTGAAGTACGGACGAAACGATGAATTTTATTCTATATATCTAAATTGATCTAATGTTTCTAATCACACCGTTTAATCAAGTTGAGTAACCTTTAGATAATGAATCACGGGACAAAGTAAGTTCGTCGGTTTGACTGACAGCGAAACATCCAGAAAAAAGTAGGCTGCATTTATTGATTTTACGCATATATTATACATATTAAATGAAACTAGTTCACGGATTTTATAGCGTTTCAATTTTGATTTTTAATTCCCGACGTTTCGAACATTTCCAGCGTTCGAGGTAACGGGACAGGCTTGACTGACAACACTTGCTCAGAGACAAATCAACTCGCTAAATGTGTACTTTTTTATAGTGGTAATCGTGTCTTTGAGACAGCTTAATATTCCGGCCTAAAGAAATGTGATCTCAGGGCGCCATAAAAATAGTATACAAGTATTGCTTCTACGCTGAAAGAATTGAGCTTTCTGCGTCGCAATGCAAGTCAAAGCAAAAGGCATACTCACTTTTTCTACGTACGGTGCAAATATTATTTAGACACCATAAAATTTAATAGGCATTAAATGTTATGGCAACACAAAATTACACAAGCGCTCAAAAAGTCGATTGGCTAAAACCATCGAACACTATAAAAAATAAGTATACAAAATTAAACATGCTACATAAAATCTTAAACTGTTTTAATTGCGTTTATATAAAATAAAAAAAACAAAGCGCTTTTTTTTGTTTTTATCTTTATATTCAAGAAAAGTTCACAGCCATTCAAATTCAACACGAATCGTTGTTCGATTTAAAATAAAATAAAAACCTCTACGTTATACTGTTTTTTGCAGAAATCGTTTTGCGTGCGACGCGAAAACAAATGTTGGAACAAATATTTGCACCGAAGTTTGCGGAACAAGCGTTTCACTTTCCCGCCTTTATCACGACACCCGCGTGATAGCTTCGCTTACGACTATTATATACAAAGATACATTAAAATCTTCACAGCACATGACAGATGTGGCATAATGTGTTAATCTAAATCTCATCTACGGATCTAAACAGTCGCCAGATGTTATTGTAAACAATAACGAGGTACGACATCTGCACGGACGCCATTTTGTTTAGACACCGTGCCACTGCAGAGTTCGATTGCGACAGACAGTCGCGAGAATAGAACTAACAAACTCACCTGTTATTACGTTACAGTTCGACTATTGAACGAAATGATTGGATTGCTCCGATTTGACAAAGATTGTTGTTAACAACAGTCGCAATAAAGCCGTTCGAGTTGAAATGGTACGGGTTGAGCTCGATTCACCGTTGGCGCGGGTTCGACGCACCGTTCATACTCCTCAGTTCTGTGTACGGCCTCCTGGACAACAACTTGAGATCTTCACCGCCCGTCAGGGCGATGTAGTCCTTCCTCTTCCAGTAAACCATGAGTCTGTAATCGAAAAATGAATAGAATTACAATTTTTATGTTTTGTTAGAAAGTGGCAAACGATCTGACGTCACCTGATGTTAAGTGATTACCGCCTGCCCATAGCCACTTGCAACACCCGTAGGGTTGCAGATGCGTTGCCACCTCTTAATAAACTGGGCCCTGGCTACCTCACTCACCAGACGAAACGAAGAAGTGCAAAACTTCTACTCAACGCCGGTCTTCTGTGAGGTCGTGGTACTAACCCGGACAGACCTACCTATGCGTGCAACAGCGAACATGCGAACGAATGCTATACTTCTGAGTATTGGCTGTATGTGAGTAATAACCGGAGCCCAGTTTATTAAAAGGTGTACAACGTATCTGTAACACCCAGAGTGTTGTAACTATGGGTAGCGGTTAAGACTTAACATCAGATGAACCGCTAGCACGCTTGCCATCTTCTCAAAAAAAAAAGGTTTTTTTGCTGCAATATTATAATTAATATACAGATTTAGGAGGCACATTAAATGTAATATGGAGTTTATTGTCATCTAAATTATATTTTTCATGTAGTACTGATTATATCAAATTGGATGAATATTAGTTTTATGTGAAGGCACACAGTATTTAAATAAAGCTATTCTTAAACATATGTACTTTTAAGTACAATATTGGAACAGAGCCAATGAAAGATTTGGTTAAGAATTTTTTACAGAATAAAGAACGATTTTAAAGATAATCCTTAAGATGCTTGTTTTTTTTTTTTGTTTAAAAATCCTTCAAGATTAAATATTAGATGGATTGTTTTATGAATATTAGAAACAGTATTGTACAAAGATGCATTGAAATCTGAATAACAAAGCCATTGTAATATAAATCAATACGATAATGTGCATTGTTTTATATTTTCCAATAATCTGTTTCATTGTTGTGAACATAACGATGGAAATTAAATTAAGTTTACAAAAAAAATAAGTCAAGCACACTTTCAATACGTGCACCGTCATACCATGTAAACAACTTTTCAGGAACTATCCACATCATACAATGAAGCATTTTTAGATTGATCTGCACTTTTAACTATAACTTATTTATTTAGTTTATTAGGTACACAAACAGCATAATATAATTATAGTAAAGTTCATGTCTTCATAACTAAAGGGCTAATTCTTATACATATATATGCCTATTACAGGTATACACAACATTTATAAAAATAATTCAAAATCAAAATCAAAATCAAAAATATATTTATTCACATAGACTCTTGCGCGTTCTTATGAAATGTCAAAATTTTACATAAAAATTAATACGTTCATAAGTTACCACCAATTGAATACATTTATAACCCGAAAATAAAAAAAAACAGGAGGTGGACGTTAATACTAAAGATAAGTTATAAGTAAACTAAATTAAATCTAACACAAGTACATAACATGTACATAACATAAATACTCTGTGACGTAAAACTTTACTAATCGTCGAAGTTCTTCTAGAATGATCTTTTATAGTTTAAGTTCCAAATACCAGTAATAATTTCAGAATAGATGAAGAAGAAAAATAATATAAAGAAAAACAATACGTGAGACTTTGAAAAATGTTTGTCACCTCAACACAAGACGTTATAGGTGTTAAAGATGCTTTTTCTTATATGCTGTAAAAACGTAACAATTCCATTCCCGAGCGGTAATCAAACCGGCAATCTCAGTCTTAATACGCAGATCAATGAAATATCATCATTATCCTCCTGCCCGTATCCCACCTAGATGTTGTTTCTCAGTTTGAGAACCACATCCGTTTTACGTTTAATTCACGATTTGAGAAGCACATCCGTTTTACGTTCGTCCACAATTTGAGTAACGCATCCGTTATACGTTCATTCACAGTTTGAGTAACGCGTCCGTTTCACGTTGGTTCACAGTTTGAGAGCCACTGGTGCTTCCCTGATGGGACAGATTAAAAGCGAATGAATGCAGGTCCTCGCACATTAATGGATCGTAAACGCCGGCGGCCTTGCGCCGTGTTGATAAAGCGTTGTCGGCGCAGGCCGTTTGATGAGCAGATGCAATCGGTGCGGACAATAAGGCGACTAATCGAGTCCTACTAGCATTCAGAGATGCCAATTAGCACTTAACTGACATTAAACTGTTTTCAGGCGGTATTCAGTCTTAAAGCATGAGTATATATGTTGTACATACGGAATATAACCTTATTTCATGCGATACGCGGCCTTTAGTTAATCTTTAAGGTTAAATAGGGTTGAATGGGTGAACACTCATCGACATTTCCGAGTGCCGCCAAAGTAATCAAGTACGTATATAATAATCAGACAAACAAATGAAAACATACATACGTAGACATAACGACATGATGCCTTTTGTACATTATTTTCATTTTTAATTTTTTTTTTTCGTATCTTGTGTTTTTAAATAAATAAATAAATGATACGATATACTTTATAAGCAAAAAACAATACCAACTTCTAACATCTCACTCTCTATACATTTTTCTATGGGATTTTGATTACTACCCTGATGTATATCCGGAGCCCTAGGCCAAAAGCTCGTGGAACTCAGGGACCACAGCCGAACCGAACCCGACGCAAAATAATTTTTAAATGATATAGGTTTTAGTGGCAGTGGGCAGGGCACATAGCTCGAAGAACCGATGGCCGTTGGGGCAAAAAGATTCTCGACCTCAGACCACGTGACGGCAAGCGCAGCGTAGGAAGGCCTCCCACAAGGTGGACGGACGACCTAGCCAAGATGGCAGGGACGCGTTGGATGCAGGCCGCTAACGACCGGTCGAAGTGGAAGTCAATGGGGGAGGCCTATTTTCAGCAGTGGACGTCCTGCGGCTGGTATGATGATGATGATAGGTTTTTCTCTTCGTGTGAGAAGGTGGCAAGTGAGCTGGCGGTCCACCTAATGTTAAGTTATTACCGTCACCCATCGATATTTACAAAACTCGTAGGGTTGCAGCAGATGTGTTGCCACCTTTTAATAAAATGGGCCCGCATCAGACGAAACGCAAAAGTGTAACATTTCCAGTTCACGCCGGTTTTCTGCGAGGTCGTGGTACTTATCCGGACGGACCTGCCCATTCGTGCCACAACGAACACTGTTGCGTGGTTTATGCAAGATCTAAAGATCACCAGCTCTTATTCCGTGGTTCGGTCGAATAAAAATAATCAGAAAAACTATCGGTAGTCCAGATATGACATTAGGCCTTATTTGAACCAGTGACCATGACCACTTTAAAGTCTTCGAGACGCCGATTAAGATTATTATGAATTATTATTAACGAGATTATTTTTATGACAAATCCCGCAATCTTTATAAAACATGTGACATACAGTATTTCCATGTAATACGCCCGGTTTCTGAAACACTGATCATCGTAGATGTCAACTAATCAGCTATCAAATGGCTTTTCAAATGTCATTTGAGTTGCCAAAAGGATGGTTAAGAAACAACCTACGTATGTCCCACTGATGGGCGATGGCCTCCTATGTAGAGGGGATTTTACTATTTTTTTAAAACATTGCCTTAATGTAAGATAAAATTTTCCTATGTTGTAAGAACGCCTTCAAGACATTAATTTTGCGCGGACAAACGGCCAGATCTGAAAGAACTGTCTGTGGGTCACATAAGCAGTAAGCCCGTGTGGGAATCGAACCCACGAACCCCAGCACCGAAGTAAATACCTTCATTTCAGGAGTCATTTATTATTGCGGAAGTATACAGGTTTCGTTCGCGTTTTTTTTCCTTCACCGCTGAACGAGTGATAATGCAGCGTTTAAAATCGCAACTAACATTTTAATTAACGCCGGCACTTGGATTGTAACTAAATATAATTGAATTAAAAGCGTGCGCCTGCACTGAGCTATCACGGCAATAAATTAAACGTTTATAAAACGTGAGTAAGTATTTAATTGTTAACAGAAAAACCTCATTTATCATTATTATATTAGCATTGTCCATAAGTTCTTTCATCCTATTACTTCGTGCAATACGAAATAAAAGCAAAAAAAAATAACGATTTCATTATCATTTTGCAGCTGAATGTAAGTTATAAATGATAGTAGGTAACGTCGCGAACAAAGCGCGTACGCAATCAAACCTTCTGTAACCTCAACTATGCCCAGAACCACTCTCAGTTCGCCATCGCCCGTCGAGTTGGACGCAAGTGTACCACGGTATTTAATTTTTACATAAATTATAATTGTCTCGAATGCCATTAACGTGAAATAATTTATTTACGAAAAGGTTGTTGCGATATTATAGTGCGTCTGTGCTCAGGTATTTTTTTTTTTATTTTAATTCTATCACACATTAATAACAGGTATTTGGATATTGTAAATGCATAATGTTTTTATTTTACAGTGTAGAACGTTTAACAATAAATTTTGTTACGATGATATATAAAATACATCTCAACTCAAATATCTGAGGGGCGAATTGAATAAACTTTAATAAAAAAAACTATAGAATCTTAATGAAATCGTTACTTATTTTTAATACATGCAGTTACCTACTACTAGTAACTAAAGTGATATAGAAATTTTCAACCGACTTAAAAAAAGGATGCTGATATTTAATCGGTTATGTTTTTTTTTAATGTTTAAATTTTAAATAACCACAAATCTCTATTTACCCATTTTAAAAATTCTTTCATTTAATTTAGCTCCCGTGTGGTCCAATAATAGTTTCGTTGGTAATGAACCTTGGACTCGGGAATACATCAGAACTCATCAAAATCAAATAGAACAAAAACATCAACAGACAATCAAATAGAAATGGACAGTGATTTAGATATTTGTCAGATTTGTTTTGTTATTGTACATATTATTATTCATATATAAACAAAACAAACATATTATATATTTAAGACAAGTGAATTAGTATATACAATTTTTGCATTTATCCATGATTAGATTATTTTTAAATTTCGCTAAAAAACTTATTTCACCATGGGAATAAGCGTATATGCCATTGATTAACGTATTTAATTATAAATTT